TAACTCGGTTCCCTCAAGCCTGGGCAGAAACTGCCAGTATGGGGATGGCCAAAAATCGGCCCCCGGTGCTAGTGGAACTCAAGGCAACTGCCACCCCAATAACGGTCCGTCAATACCCCATGAGTAGAGAAGCCAAAGACGGTATCTGTCCCCATATACAGAGGCTACTAGACTTGGGCATCTTAATAAGATGTCAATCAGCATGGAACACCCCTCTCCTGCCGGTAAAGAAACCAGGAACAAATGATTATCGGCCGGTGCAGGATCTACGAGAGGTAAACAAACGGGTGGCAGACCTCCACCCCACAGTTCCAAACCCTTACAACCTCCTGAGCACTCTTCCACCTCAACATACGTGGTATACTGTTTTGGACCTTAAAGATGCCTTTTTTTGTTTAAGACTCTCTCCCCTGAGCCAACCCTACTTTGCCTTCGAATGGAAAGATCCAACATCGGGAATGTCTGGTCAGCTGACATGGACACGGCTACCTCAGGGATTTAAGAACTCCCCGACCATCTTTGATGAAGCCCTCCATCAGGACTTGGCATTATATAGAGAATCAAATCCCCAGGTAACATTACTCCAATACGTTGATGATATTTTATTAGCTGCTGAGACCCAAGAAGATTGTATCAAGGGTACTGAAAAACTGTTAACGGAACTTGGAACCCTGGGATATAGAGCCTCAGCCAAGAAAGCACAAATATGCCAACAACAGGTCAGTTACCTGGGGTATCTATTAAAAGGGGGGCAAAGAGGGCTCACGGAGAGCAGAAAGGATACGGTGGCCCAAATTCCGGCTCCCAAAAACGCCAGGCAGGTTAGAGAATTTTGGGGGACAGCCGGATTCTGTAGACTATGGATTCCAGGGTTTGCTGAGCTGGCGGCCCCATTGTACCCCCTAACCAAAAACAGCACTCCTTTCGTTTGGGGCGATAAGGAACAACGGGCAGTATCATCCACTGCCCTGGACATCAAAAAGGAAATACCCCAATAATTAGGGGAAATAATATGGCTGACCAAGTGGCCGGAGAAATAGCATCGGGAGAAGTCATTTTAGGACTGTCAGATAAAGTTCCTGAAAAACCAGGCCGCGATGAAGAAATCATCCCGGCCACAACAAAAGGAACTTTGTCCCCTCAGCAAGCAGAATCCATGTTACAACAGATGCACAGATGGACACATTTGGGGACTAAAAAGATGGTAGCCTTGTTACAAAAAGCCGGGTACGAAACCCCTGGAATGACAAAATTAGCTGAACAAATTGTGCAGGAATGCGTCCCATGTCAACAGGTAAATGCTCACAAAGGGAAACTTGAAACTGGAAAGAGACTCAGGGGGGACCGCCCAGGAACTTACTGGGAAGTGGACTTTACCGAAGTGCGTCCTGGAAGGTACGGTAATAAATACCTTTTAGTTTTTGTAGACACTTTTTCAGGATGGATAGAGGCTTTCCCAACAAAGAAAGAAACAGCTGCTGTAGTAGCCAAGAAGATTTTAGAAGAAATTTTTCCTCGATTTGGAGCACCAAAGGTAATAGGGTCTGATAATGGTCCAGCCTTCGTCGCCCAGGTAAGTCAGGATGTGGCCAGATATTTGGGGACTGATTGGAAATTACATTGTGCCTATAGACCCCAAAGTTCAGGTCAGGTAGAAAGAATGAATAGGACTCTAAAAGAGACCCTAACTAAATTGTCCTTGGAGACTGGCGGTACCGATTGGACGGTGCTCCTTCCTTTGGCCCTATTCCGGGTTAGAAATACACCTTCCCGATACCATCTTACTCCTTTTGAAATATTATATGGTGCCCCGCCTCCCCTCCTCACTTTAGGGAAAAAAATAAAACCTGATTGTCAAAATAACACTGACTTATATGCTAGGCTACTGGGACTCCAATTGGTCCAGAAAGAAATATGGTCCCAAAAACGCCGAGGCCTACCAACCGGGAACACCGGGAGAAACTCATCCTTTCCAAGTCGGAGACTCCGTATACGTCCGTCGGCATCGAACCCAGACGTTGGAACCTCGATGGAAAGGACCATACACCGTCCTCCTCACCACCCCAACGGCCATAAAAGTGGACGGCATCGCTGCCTGAATCCATGCTTCACATGTGAAGGCTGCACCAGCGACGGCATCATCAGGATGGCGGGCCCAAAGAACCGACAACCCGCTCAAACTCAAGCTTCTACGAACCTAGGACTTATAATTTTGGTTTTACTGCCTTTATTGACTGTAAGTGATTTTAGCCCTCACCTCCCCCAACGTTTAACTTGGCAGGTAATTTCTCAGACTGGAGATGTAACCTGGTCCATTAGTCATACTGCACCCCCCTGGACCTGGTGGCCAGATCTTTTTCCTGATGTTTGTAAATTGGCTATAGGAGCACCTTATTGGGATACAGAAGATTCTCATGATATGAACACTGCCCCTTCCAAAGTTTCGGAAACTGATTGGTTTGGGCCGGGTTGCAAAAATGCAGGCAAAAGAATGATGCTTGGTATCCTCACTTTCTACGTATGCCCCGGGTTCCACCGCCCTTGATCTCTGAATTATAAATGTGGTGGAACTGAAAACTTTTATTGCAAAAGCTGGGGATGTGAAACTACCGGGGATGCTAATTGGAAACCCACCTCAACTTGGGATTTTATTACTGTAACGGCTAATTATTCTCATAATAAGGATACCGGACACCGGAGTAAATGTTCAGGATGGTGTCATCCCCTTAAAATTTCCTTTAGTAATCCCGGAAAAAGAGATGAAAAATGGATAAATGGTCATTCTTGGGGCGTTAGATTTTACATGAGGGGATATGATTTAGGAATATTAATGACCTTTAAGCTAAAGATTGAGACTCCTGCTCCTATATCAATAGGCCCAAATCCCGTACTTGGCCCCCCTTTGCTTCCCCCGGCCCCTTCAACTACATCAACAAAGAATGAGACTAATGAAACCTCTGGATCCAAAGAACCCACAGTTAAGCCTGGGACTCCTCGGGATAGGATGCTTTCTTTGGTGCAGGCAGCCTTTACGGTTCTCAATGCTACAAACCCAGAGGCTACAAAATCATGTTGGCTTTGCTATGCTGCCCCTCCCCCTTATTATGATGCTATAGGATATAGCTCCAACTATACTAATTCTACCTCCTCAGACCAATGTCGATGGAAGCAAGAAGGGACCAGTAAATTAACCCTGTCCTCGGTTTCTGGAAATGGTACTTGTATAAGAACACCTCCCCAGTCCCATAGACACCTTTGTCATGATTTTAGCCTCCCTTCAGGCTCAGGATATCTTGTACCTCCTCAAGATGGATGGTGGGCATGTAACACGGGTCTCACCCCTTGTGTCTCTTTAGAGGTTCTTAATACCTCAGCTGACTTTTGTGTGTTAGTACCTCTTATTGTTTTATTGTTGATTTTAACTTTTGGACCATGTATTCTAAATCGCTTGATAACATTTATTAGAGAACGTATCAGTACTGTACAAGTTCTAATGTTAAGACAACAGTACCAAAGTTTACGAACAGAAGGTTGAGATTCCATGATTGGAATCAATAGTCACAAGAAAAAGGGGGGAATGTGGGACTCGAGGGACATTGTTCCAGCTAATGATTAAGAACTCTCCAGACAATAGGGGCTTCTTAGATAATGGGTGAATTTCCAGGATGTCCGGCCCCCTTCCGAGAAGGAGGGAGATAACAAAATGTAAAAAAGGTGTCTGTCAAAGACCAATCAGGCAGCTAGGGACAAGTTCCCTCTCTGGTCCGAGCCTAAGCCGGGACCAATCAGCAGGAAAACACAACCAAATCTATAATTTACATACGGGGCAGTGGGAACCTATAAAACTGACATATTCGCGCCCAAAAGGGTTCCTTCTTCGACCTCCTGCGTGAGGACCAAGGAACCCCGGTGCACCGGCCTTCAATAAACCTCTTGCGTTTTGCATCGGCTTCCGACTCTTGTTGTTTCCTGGGCGAGTCGAAACTCCTAGGAGACCGCGAAGGTCTAACACTACCAATCTCGTATCTTTCTTCAGTATTCAGCACTGTCTTTAAGATCCATCCACCCTGCTGTACTTACCTCGCGTTGTTTCTAACGGCTGCACAGTGCTCACAGCACACACCTGCCACCTTTTACTTAAATAACACTGCTGAGAGCATCCTCCTGGAGTTCCCTCGTGGGCCCAGGTAGAAATGTCTCTGGGGAAGGCTGGGTCTTGGAAGTGTGCACAGCTAACTTTAAAGTGCTGCCAGCTTGCTTCCCAGAGCGCCTGAAGTAGTTTCCACCACGACCAGCAATACTGAGGCGACTGTCCCCACGTCACTGCCGACACTTGAAGTTTGTCAATTCCAGGGCGCGAGGTGGCAGCTCTTTATTTCCATTTGCACATCTCTGGCTCCTTCAGTTTCTTCCTTCTTGTTAGTCATTCAGGCTCACCCTTCTGTGGATCACCCACAAACCATTTTTCTTTTTTTCTTTTTTGGCTGCACTGCTTGGCTTGCAGATCTTAGTTCCCTGACCAGGGACTGATTGAACCTGGGGCCCCGGCAGTGAAAGAGCCTAGTCGTAACCACTGGACCGCCAGGGAACTCCTCCCATAGCCCATTTTTCTTTTGGATTTCCTCTTTCTGGCTGATTTACAAGAAACCTTGCATAACATATATTAATCCCTTTTCAATTTTAGTCACTGCAAATACCATCTTGGTCTGCCACCTGTTAGCTTTGACTGTGATGGCTGTTAACAGAAACTGTTACTTTTGATGCAGCTAAATCCATCCTTCCCCTCTCCCTGCATTTGGTGCTTTTGGGGGTGGGGTTTAAAAGGTGACTAACTTTAGGACGATTTAGAAGGAAAAAAAATTCTGAAGCTATGCTTAGAATAAGATCATATACAGAGATTATTTCCTCCAAGCTGGGCTTGGAGAAAATCCCCATCTCGTTTTGCCTCTACACATCAATACCTAATTTGGGGCGTTCTTTTTCCTTTTTTTTTCCCCCAGACTAAATGGTTAAGAAGTAAGGAAACCACTTGAAGTAAATTTGGTTCTCCTAAGTTTTTCTACATAAAGCTTTAAAATGCTTCACTCCCTTGACAAACTTTATGGTGAGAGGGAAGAGAGAGAGAGGCCTGGGATTCCACCCACCCTTCACACCACACTGCACGTGGTTTTAAATCTGCACAAAACTCTGCCATCTGGAAAGAAGAGAGAAGATTGAGAATAAAAGATTTGTAAAATATGTGTTTCCCAAACCCTCGGGACCTAAAGAGTTAGTAACTTGACAAAGCAACTAGCTTTTTTTTTATTAGACTACAGATATTTATGAAACACTGGGCGCTATGTGGTGTTTTCTTTGTTGGATTAATTATAAATGTCATGATCCATGTTCAAAGGGATTCAGGGATGGAACAGACAGACCGATGGACAACAGGGCCACAGAAAGCTGAAGAGGATTTTAAAATGTAATTTGAACCGTACGGAGAATGGCCAGGAACTTCCAGAAAATTCTGTTTTGCTGCCATGACCCAAATAAAGAATTTTACAAGGCTGGGTGGAGCCCATTGAACGTTGAAGTGTCTCAATCTTTTTGAATTTAAAATCTAGGTAATAAAACAAGCTTGTGCCACGTGGAGAAGATGGACTCTTAGGAGAAAGTGCTGAGTCTGGTTCCTGGAGTTTAAGTCATGTGCAATCACAGGCAAGAAGAGGATGATTAGTCCTTCCAAAATGGCCCACTTCAAACTCTGATTATCACGAAAAGGGTGGAAGGTGGTATCAAAATTACCAGTTATAAACCTGGAGGGACAGCAAGAAAAGCCAGCCTGGGACTCTTACAGAAATAATACAGTGAAAGAGTACGTCCCACCCTGGGAATTAGGAATGCACTCTGTCTTCTGGTGACCTGGCCACAGACCAACTTTTCCCCCTTCTCCTTTTTTCAGGAGAGAAAAAAAAAAAAAAAATCTCCTTTTCCCTCCCTTGAGTTTCTGTGTTTATACAAGAAGCCCGTCTTCTGTGTTCATCACCACCACGTTCTGTGAGAAGCTTTCAGCAGTTTTCTCAGGGTGGAAATCTTAAGGCCGGCCTTTCTTGTTTGGGCTTCTTGTTTGGGTCTCTGACACACAACGGGGCTGTTGACAGAAATGGTTAAGTGGCCGTGAAGTCTGGAGCCCAGATGCAATCCACCTGCCAAACAGGATCAAGGGTGATGGCAGAGATGGAAGGCCAAGCCAGCTCTTCAGCCTCAATGGAAGTGTTAACAGAAAGCAGGAGGGGGAGCTAAGCTTGCTGAGGACAAAGGAAAACGCAACAGATCAATCAACTCTCCTTTGTTAAGAGGCGGCAGATCACAGGCTGAGGCCATCAGGCTCCCAGACGAGATGGGGCTGGGAGGACCCTTCGGGGTGTACCGTTTCCTCGGTGGGACGCTCAGCTCCAGGCAAATCCCCAATCTGCACGTTGGGCTTTGCAAAGGGTGCTCCTGTGTCTTTGATGACTTTCCATAAGAAGACAGTCTGACAGAGATGACGTTCACTTCCCTGCTCCCAGGCCAGTGAGAGCACCGCAAACCCCTCTGTGCAAACTACTAGCATTTCGGGATCTCAGGGAAAAAAAAAAAGATCCACTTCTGCATTCCAGACTCATGGGGCAAATGGAAACAGATGAAAAACAAACCAAAACCCAGAACTGCTGCCTTGCAGGTCTGTTAACAGGGGCAACCACTGGAAGCAGGTACTTCACTTCTTCCCTAAGATGTGGAATAAAATGTAGACATCTTTAGATGCCTTTGGTATATTTTAATGTATTTACCCTTAGACACAGAGGCCCATATTTATTGAATTGCCTCAAAAATTATTTAAGCAGGTTTTCTCTTATTATTATTCTTTCCTTTCCGTGGTCATGGGCTGGGGCTCCGCACTACCGCGCTCACCATACGCCCACATTCCCATTTGGTTCTGCCTCCCCCGAGCATTCCCTGCTTTTATTTTTTTATTTTATTTTATTTTTTTTTTGTGGTACGCGGGCCTCTCACTGTTGTGGCCTCGGCCATGGCTCATGGACCCAGCCGCTCCGCAGCATATGGGATCTTCCCGAACCGGGGCACGAACCCATGTCCCCTGCGTTGGCAGGCAGACTCTCAATCACTGCGCCACCAGGGAAGCCCCTATTTTTGTTGTTCTTAACAGCCAGTCCCCTTCCCTTTCCATCTGTCTCTATCATCTATTTTCAGGTTATGGCTCAGGCCCCTCCTCCTGCAGGAAAAGCTCTATTTATATATTCTCAAATAGCTGAAGAAGAGGGGCAGCGTCTAACAGTTGTTAGCAACATGAACAACGGGATTCATGTTTCTCTAGAAATAAACCAACGGCTTTAAGCTTAGATCTAATTGCAAAACTGGCAGCAATGATTTTACTATTTATAAGACAAAATACGTAAGGTTGGATAATTTCTTTTCTTTTCCTTGTAGGTGTATATATAGTTAACGGGTACTTTTAAATGATAACCTTAAAAACCATAGTCTCGGGATGGCCTTTATTGTTGATGAAGGGTTGCTATTACGCCATGGTATATATTTCTCCTTGTGAAATGCTTGGTTTCCCTGCACACAGGGAAACCCGCACACAGCAGAGCTTCACTACACGCACGCCAGATACAGCAAAGGCATGGAGTGCACAGTCAGACTCAGACAATTTATTTTACTGAATGTAGGTTCAAGTTCAACTAAGCATTCTAACAGGTAACATGATTCAAACGTCAGAGAGAAATCTCTTTAAATCCCAAGAAAGCAAGCTCACACACAGTCTGCGGGCCATCGAATGAACTTTTTATTCTCGACACTCATCCGTGTGGAGTGTGGCCACGTGAGGTTGCCAAATATAGAAAGTGATAGACACCACAACCATCTCCCGAAGATAATTATTCTTTGAATGGAAAACATCACTTAAATAAAAAACATTTAAAGATGCTCCCTTAGTCTGTATAATTCCTAAACGTAAAATATCATCTTAGTAACAGAACAAAGAACTCGCCTTGGTTGGTCACATCATTCATTACGGAAGGGGAAAATCAATAAAAATCATAAAAAAACAAAACCCTGAAATAGAAATAAATAAATAATTTACTCATAGGTAGTTTTGCTGCATTGCACGTTACCACACAAAATTCTAAAGCTGATTTTTCTTAAAAGCTTGGAAAACACATTTGCCTGTTGGAGTTTCTTGCTAAGTGGTGCATGCTTCTCAGAAGGAAAAGTATTCGATGTAGGCCTGAGTTTCAAATTTAAACACTGGGTAATCTAGAGCTTGCCCTCCTGGGTGCACAGCTGTGATGACGGGAGAGCAAGCATCTCCCCAGCCCCCGAGGTGGGGAGTGCTGCAGAAAGCCAGCAGTTTAGGGTGAAAATGGGCAGAAACCACAGGTACAAATCAGTCTGTACTTTTAAATGGATTGTAAAATCTTCGAGACCATCCTCTGGAGGTTCAGAAAGGAGCAGCACAGATATGACGATGGAACAGAAGTGTTTACTGGAGGATTCTTTCCACCAAGAGTTAACACAGAACATTGCTCTTTGCGAGGCTTTTAGCAAGTTCCCACCAGTCCAATTTCTCTTGCTTTCTGTTGCTAAAAGTGCTCAGAGTTTACGGCCTTCTTGGCCAGCCCTTAATTGATATTCTTTGCTTCCTGAGTTAAGCCCCTCCGGTGCTTGCCTCTCACCCCTGCCTGCGCCTGCATCGCTGAGAGAATGTTCCTGGCCGTCTTCTCGTCCCTGGTGCTGGGTGGAGAGAAGCTACTGAGCCCTTCTCATGACTGCAGACATCTCAACACAACACTGTGAGCCCTCCTGAACAGCACGTTTTAAATTTGGGCGGGGGGAAGGAGGAGTATGCTACTTGGTTTATTCGAAAACCGATCTTGAAAAGAATCTAGAGGAAAAGGTAAGTGAAATTCTGGTGCATAAACAACTATTTTGAGATTGAAGTTTGGTCACTTCTCTTGCCCCTCTTTTTGTGCTCACGGGTGGTAACTACCTTCCTGAATGAAGAGGACGCGGCTGTATATCTGTTCTTGAACGGGACTCTCCACGCAGGGTCAGCAGATGTCTTCTGTAAAGGGACACTTAGTAAATATCTGAGGCTCTACAGGACACGTGCAGTCTCTGTTGTGTATCCGTCACTTTTTTTTCCTTTAATGACCCTTTCAAAATTGAAAAACCATTCTTAGCTCAAGGGTCTCCTAGATTTTCCCTGTGGGCAAGTTTGCCAGGCCTGCTCCGGGAGTTCTTTGGCACGGGACACGGCACCGAATTGTGCAAAGTACAAGGCCGCTGGGCCTTGGAACCCTAATCTGGGGACTTCTTTTGGAGAGTGAGTTAGGTCCTTGCAGTTGGATGCTCAGGCTTGGATCCTCCATGCTGGTCTCTACTACACTCCCCAAATGGTACAGAGCTGGACCAGGTTAGCATCCTTTATTTAAAAAGTGGCTATTTATCGTAGGAGGTCTTAATTTAGGCCTATTTAGATCTATGCCTATGCTAGCTTATCCTTGCCTTGATTTGAAAGGCCAGATCACCTATTCTAGGCATTCTGCAGGTCAGGGCCTTACTACTCCAAATAGCTGGCGGCAGAAAAGCTAACATGTAAACTTACTTCTTTACCACTAATGCCACCCACAGTCCGCAGGGCAAGCCTCCTTTAAGAAGTCAAGGAGAAGCACACCAGTTCACTATGCCCCTGGGGTACCCATGACACAGCCCGTGTGTGGCTGCGTCTTGAAAAGGAACAGTGTTTACCAGGGACCAAGCATTTAAATAGCTGGAGACCAGCATTTCAGAAGCTGGATTTTTCGAAAGACATCTGTCTCCACCCTCTCTGAAACAAGTCTCTCTACACATCAGATGCTATACCACCATACAGCTCCCCTAACCTTCTTTATATTTGAGAGGCAAACTTTCTACCAATAATTTGTCCGTTGTTAGAATATTCACTTTGAAGAGCAGAATCACAGGATTTGCTTTTCTTTCATAAATCTGTAATCTTTTAAGTCATCAATATACTTGTATGCCACATTTTTAAGTAATTAATGGACGAGATGAAAATCTAAAAATTTTTTCTGAATTAAATAAGGGCTTCAGTGCCTGAATTCTTTCTCTCATCATTGATTTTTTTAAAAAGCAGTTGATGATTCTCGAAATATACATTTGTTACCAACTAGACGAATCTAGCTGTTCTGGAGTTAAGAAATAGCTTGTGCGCGCGCGCGCGCACACACACACACACACACACACACACACACACACACACACACACACAGAACATCGCCTAAAAAACTATGTATGAGAATTCCCAAAGCTTCTAAACTAAACGAATAGGTGAAAACCCACTGATCTCATACACGCCAATCCAGTTGTCCTTTTTAGGTTTTTGTTTAAAATGTCAAACGTGTTTTCTTCAGAATGTGAGTTGATTTCTCGTGTTCAGTTCTTCTCTTCATTTGGATCTACAGTGGCCCTGCCAGCACAGCCTCAACCGCGACAGTAAGCTAGGTCTCTGAACTACGAGGGCAGGGGGATACCGACTTGAAGATGGAAGAAACCGGAGCACAATTAAACAAGCACGAACGAGCTACTGAGAAATAAGGACGTGCCTGTTGACAAGCACCAGCTCCAGTTCTAACAACACCGAAACCAGTGAACTATGAATTTTCCAACTCAGCAACGTAGCGTTCTAAGGCCGCCGAAAGATGGCATGAAGAGAGTAACTACCTGTGGTCAGAAGAAGCAACAGTAACGGGGAATGATTCTTCTAAATGAAATGAAACAGTGCATTCTGAAGCGTGTGCTTTTAGAAGTGAGAGCACTGCACTCCCTCACTCTCTCCCATCAGTGGGTTTCATACACAGACACGCGCACACACTCTCACTCTCACACACACCACCCTCACCCTCACACACACACACACACTCTCACCCTCACACACACACAGCGCTCTGGTTATCATTTCACATTTTTCAGGTCTCTTCACTATCAATTTTAAAAACTGTTACCTCTTGGTGCCTATACCTCTCTATTTTGGATAGAAACAGTTCTGATTTTTTTAACCTGCAAAGAAAACACACAGCAACAGCCCTGAACAATAAATAAAACTAAACATCTCCCTCTTTAGGTTAGCGCTTTCAAGACAGAGAGAAAAAGGGGATGATCAGTCCAGTCGGTATGTGTTCCGGTTCTGTGAAAGCGTCACCCCTTGGTCCCACCTCCCCTGACAGAGAAAAGCCTGCCGTTTCCCTCCAATATTAAAGTGCATCTGTTTAAAATCAAATATACCTTAGAGAACAACCAAAAATCTTAGTAATTTTTGGCAGGTATCCTATGCAGCAAAAATGAAGTGATGTTCCCTTTTCCCTATTCCGCAACTTAAAGCTGGACACAGAACGGCTAAATGCAATGCTTCCAGGACAGCAGAGTTTAGGAACAGTGGGTTTTGGTTTTGTTTCAAGGAACGAAAAGGGAAAGGAAAAACAAAACAAATGAGAATGAAGAGGAGAAACCCTGAGGCGAAAATGGCTTTTCCGTTAGAGTCTTTCTGGGGCTCGAACTCCGGTTCATAAGGTGCTGGCGATCTTCTGGGACGGAAGGCCGTCCTCCAGCCAGACGGTGGCGGCCGAGCCACTGCGCGGGGCCCGCCTGTGAATGCGCCGCAGCCGCAGCAGGTAGAGGAGGATGGCGAGCAGGACCACCAGGAAGCAGCCCGAGAACAGGTAGTGATTGTACACAAAGGAGAAGCCCCGCCAGTGCGCGTGGCTGGCCCGGAAGGTCTCCTGCTGGATATCTCTGCCCACATGGGAACAAGAACAAACATGAGAACGAGGCAGGCGGGAAGGGTGACGTAATGATGCGCAGGGTGGGGTGGGAGGGGCCTGGTTTAGGACTCAGCTCTGCAGACGGAAGCTGGAACCTCCGTCTCCCAGACTCAGTTTCCCCTCCTCTAAAATGTAGGATACTGTGGCC